CCCCCCCCCCCGACCTCCACCCGTAACCAGAAAATGTACTTCGGGGAGAAAAACTCTGCGGCAGACAAGCTCTTGGGCGACTTCCGAAAAGGCCACCTGGGCTCCCTCTCCTTGGAGGCTCCCCCTCGAGCCAACGCCGCCCACAACAGGCTCCCCCTCAAGCCAGGATTGGAGGCCGGCGGCGCTAGCGGGGCGGGGGCGGGCACCTCCCGGGACGCCGCCGGTCGGCCAATGGGCGGCGGGAAAATGCGGGAATTTGGGGGAGGTGTGGAGGAGGAGGTGGAGTTCGGGGCGGCCGCCAAGGAGGCGAGAGAGTTTGTCGGGAGCGGGGAATTTGAGGGCTGGTGATTGCTCGAACGGAGTACTCTTACAGTATGATGCAGTTATGTCAACCATCGGAAATGTCATCGGGTGTATGGGTTCTGGCGCAGTTGAAGGGAGCGAGGTAGGTGACTACCGCGACCTAGATCACAATGTTTGTTGTCCGTTTCGTTTGGGCTGTTCACGGGATCGTTATGCACATAGTTCCAGAGAGGACTGCTGTGCTTGTCCGAATCTGATGATTGTTTTGCAGGTCGTTTGTGGTTTTGTTCTCGTCGCAGGCGGTGCAACAGACGTGAAGCAAGCGGGTCCACTGCGAGAATTTGTTGATGGGAGATGAGTCCGGAAGTCGCAGAAGGGCCGACTCTCTTCAGCCTCACAGCCACTCAATACGTCGCGCACCACCCCTGGAGTGCTACAGCCTCACTACCACATGTGTCGCATGACAATGTCGACGGTCCTCTTACCCCCAAAGCAAAGCAAGACGCAACGCGCACGCACATTACGTTACCCTGTGATCGATACATGCTGGAAGCGCGACTGGGCATTTGTGGCCGCAAGTGTCTCCTTCATCCGGTCCGCCCGAGGACGTGAAAAATCTAAAAATCTAAAAATCTAGTGTCTGATGACCTGTTCATGTTGGATCCAAAGGGCGAAGCCAAGCACGATCAGTAACGTGTCCAACCCGTCAACTACCCTTCGAGAGAACTTACTTCCGATGCGGAATCGGTGCTGATACACGAGCCATACGCGCTTGTGTTCCTCCTACAGTGCACTATCGAGGGGCATTTTGCCGGGCCTTGGTTCGCAAGTCTGCAGCCAGCCGCGGCTACGAACTTGTGTGCACTCGGAGATCGATTTCGCCGATTTCCGCTCCTGTCATGGCCATGCACGCAATAGACAAGCTTCTGACGATCGCGCGGATGTTGTTTCAGCAAGAAAAACGACGCACGTCCTGAGATATACTGGCATGGGGCGTTTTTCGGCATTTCGTTGGTTGAACGTCGGCCCCCTTCACTTGGCGTTCTGTAGTTGCCTCCAAAACAAAAAAAGTTTATTGACCCGGAGCCGACGCAACTAGTGTTGCCGGGTCAATTTGGATGACAATCGATCGGAGAGGGAGAGCAAGATTGAGGAACGCAACCCCGTGTTCCCCTCTCTACCCCCTGCCCCCCTACGGATCGAGACAGCCGGCAGCAGATCTAGCATCTGGTGCGCAGCAGCATCCTCGGACAACAGTCGCGCCGGGTTTTCGCAACGTCCCGGAATCTCCTCTAGGACTATTCCTCTCTATCGAAATTTCATGTAGGAAACCAACAAAGTGGCAATGACCTCTAGTTCCGACATGCAAACACGTCATGGCACTACTGCTGTGGTTGTGAACATTCCTCCCCGAACTTTTACGCCTCTTCCGCCCTACAGTCTTTAAAGCGACACGGACGGAATCAGGATGGATCAGACAGTTCTATATCACTTCATCGCTTGACGTTCTATACACTTCTGATGTGCGCGCCTGATTGCTGGGATACAGACGAGCTTTTCTAGGAACTGCAACTCTGCCGGAACCAAGCAGCACGTGAAAAACATGTCATGTCATGTCATGTCCAGAAACAACCCGGGACCACAAAGGTGCACTATTGAATCTGTTGTTTGCACGTGTGCTTCACGCTCAGCACATCCGATGGAAAGGACTTGATCATCGGTGCTCCATTTGCCTGAATTCAACTTTTACTCACAAATAAAACGAAACTCTTCCAACATCAGCGACGCTAACCGAACTGAGCCAGGCATTTCAACCTCGCCTCAAGGGCAGGAGGACAGGAGGTACTTTTATACTGTACCGCCTCCCATGATACGGCAGTCTCTCAGAAGCAACCAATAGTCTATTGGGCAGCAACGAGCTGTCCGTCACGGCAGGACCAGCGCAGATAGACACTCAACACTCCCAACAGCCTGAAAACATGCCAACGAAACGAAAGCATTATCAATGGACGATCAAGGGCAAAAGTAAACCCTACCAAGAATCGACGTATCGGTGTCAATACTCGTCCTCCTCGCCGTAGGACTGGCTCTCCACCTTCCTCCACCCGAACTCGCTGAGGTAGCCCTTAGCACGGGATGTCCCGCTGTCGATCCCCTGATCTCGCATGTAGTTGTCGATGCCCTCTTCGGGCCATCCCAGCTTCTTCCGAAGCGCTTCCAACCTGTTTCCAACACGCGACCGCGGCGTAAGGGTTAAGGGTTGAGGGTTGGGGTAAGAGGACGGAGCGTGCTCGTTTTGGTTTTCACATGTGTAATAGATTCTAGTTTCATTCTAAGTCTAAATGCATCTAGACTTGACCCGTACTCGCCTACAAGAAAGTGCGGGCTGTGGTTCCCTTCTGCACTACGGCTGCCTCCGCACTCCTCTCAACAAGGTACTAACGCACAGCAGTGAAAGAGACATACGAGGGCGAGCAGCTTCGCCATTGAAGTTCTGCGTTGTACTGCGAGCGCGTACAGGATTTTTTTGTGGCTCTGCTCCTGGTTTAGCACAACTCTTCTTGTGGAAGGGGGCCCTGCGATGCTCCTGAACTTCAACACGCCTTCAAGGAGAAACAATAACGACTTCACCTGTTTCGGTTGGAGTTACCGTCTCCAACAATGACCGGCCCGGCGTATACGTTCTTCAGGCTCTTGGATCGAAACGACACCAAACCATCCGACGGCCTACGTGACACCGCATGTGGCGAGCCACGCCAGCAAAACGGGATTGGTCAGGTTTATTCTTGGGTTTTATGTCGTGCGTGGCGATGGCACGCTGAGGCTGTTGCGACATGCATGGTACCCACTAAAACAGCACCGAAAAACGTCATCAATAGTGTATAGTACTCGTTTGCGTCACCGTGTACCAGTCAGTTGGATAAGGACCCCATGGCATGAAAGGGTGCAATCGTGTGCTTCTTCGGTGCTGCGGCTTTCACGAGAGGTTCAACAGCACGAAAGGTTGGTTTCTACACGCATGCCTAGCACTCCCCGTTGCCGCTCGCTGGCAGCAAAAGCCGCATCTAAATGTGCGATTTATTGAGTTTTCCGTGTTACATTCACCGCCCCTTTAGATGCAAATACAGACGATGGGGAACGGAAAGGCTGGGCTGCAACCGCTCGTAGATGTTTTTTTCTCACTTGAAGAGGAACTCGACCTTGTCAAACCCATCTGGAGGAACAGCCGACTTAGCCATCGCTGATATGTACAGAGCGTCGGCGTCCTGGTCAACCACCTTCAGCTGGGGGTCGTTCTCCACCGTCTTGAGCTGATACAGCAAGAAACCAAGGGACAGAGACATGGAAGGACGAGGAAGCGTGGGAAGCAAAGCGGGGGTGGGGAGGGGAGGGGAGTTGCCATTCAACAGACGACCATCGGTCTGGACATCGAAACAGACGATCATCGGCTGGCTTCACGGGTCCGTGGCTAGGTGGCACTAACGCCGTCGAGCGCGCAATGTTCCGGGGGTGGAACCCCTAACTATCACGCTCATCTGATGGAAACAATTTTCCAATACAGGTGCATACATCTTCCAACGAAGAGTATCTAATGGCAAACAAGGCTCACTGGGTATTTGAATAGACTCCTGTTTGCTGGTGAACCTCGACAGAACATTCGACAAGGTTTGTTCTCGGGGGGAAAAGCCATGAAATCTGGAACGCGCCGCCGTCGATGTAGGCTGTCTCGGCAAAAACAGTGGCAAGCACTCACAAGTTTAGCGAACGCAGCGGACGCATCCTTGCTGTCGCCCGTGTAGGACCAAGGCGCCATGTATCGTCCTTGCATTACCTGTATGAGACGAGAGATGGAATTGAAGCAGCCAATGAGAAAAAAGTGGTACGCAATTGCCCTTAGGCACATCTCGCAACGCATGGCCGCCGCCTCTATGCGCGCAACTCTTAGCTGCGCCACAACCCGAGCAACAACAGCTACAGCAGTTGCAGCAGCAACGACAAGAGTTAAAACGACTACAACGACAACAACTACGGTGCTTTTCCGTAACAGGCCGACATGGTCATCGACGTTGTGCTCGTGGCCGCTAACAAGACGTTCAATCAACGGACCCTTTCGTCCACTGCATCTACAATTCCACACACTTGGCAGTAAAACGTTTGCCCCAGTCCTATTTTTTCTAGTCATCAGGCGAGCCTAGCGTCTAGCGGCGTGCGAATCCGGTCGACACACCCCTCACCAACTTGAATGAGGTGGAGCTAACGCAGTTCCCCTCCGTGGGGCACGCCGGCAGCGATTCGGGAACCGTCCCCGCCCCCGCCGCCGAAACGCCGCCAACGGTCGCTAGCAAACCCGCAGCCGCCGCTACGATTGCCTGCCCTCGACTGATCGGTCCCGAGGACTTTACAGTGCCAAGACGGAAAGGTGTACGCGAAAGGGGCGTTGTAGTCAGGGTTTGCGGTTGGGTGCAGGAAGCCGAAACGACACATGGCTGTTTCACGCATTTTCGGTGAGTCCTATACGTGACTCTGTCGCAGGGAGATAGCTCTCGAACCGGTGCTGCTGCTGGCAACACATTGGTGGAGCTGTGAGCCATCAGTGATCTCGGTTTTCCAGCTCCACGCCCCACGCTCGCGGCAGACCGTTGGTGTTGTTGGATCAATCAACCCTTGGCACCGGCCAACTGTACCGGTCGCCCCGGTGGCCTAGTGGTACCCTCGTAATCCGCGAGTTGCAGAGGTCGTGAGTTCGAATCCCCATGGGGTGAAAAGTTTACGAAATGTGCGGGTGAAAGCGAAGTATAGCTGACAAGCTCTCGTGAGTACCAAACTTCGACGTTAGCACCGTTGACGAGGGAAAGGGACGCCTGGACCCTTCTCGCGATAACAATAAAATTCAGCACGCACCGCAGGAGGAAGGTGGGGCATGACAATAAATAATAATTAGCCCTGGTGTGTACCCCCTCCTGTGTGACCCTGAAGCCCTGGTGTGTACCCCCTCCTGTGTGACCCTGGATGGTTGTAGTTGTACGAAAAAATGCACTGAAAATGTAGTACTCTACATACATACGCTGAGAGGTGCAGTACACNGACCCTTCTCGCGATAACAATAAAATTCAGCACGCACCGCAGGAGGAAGGTGGGGCATGACAATAAATAATAATTAGCCCTGGTGTGTACCCCCTCCTGTGTGACCCTGAAGCCCTGGTGTGTACCCCCTCCTGTGTGACCCTGGATGGTTGTAGTTGTACGAAAAAATGCACTGAAAATGTAGTACTCTACATACATACGCTGAGAGGTGCAGTACACGCCTCACCACGAAAAATGGGGGGACTGTCGCCAAAATAAATAGGACGAAAACACACACACACACCGGCCGGGATCATGTGCGGCCGCTGCGCGCACTACACACTGCTTTTCAATAATTACGACAGGAGAAGCAGCGAGCGGGTCGTTCACTTGTGTGGTGCTCGGCCCGTGCTGTTGGCGACACATAAAACAACTTTGGAATCTTCTTGGTGCTTGATCTGCTCCCTATGCAGAAACGCGGCGCCGTTCGCTGGACTGAATGCGGGCTAACCTACAAGTTAGTCTCGCATGAGATCTGAGATGACGTGTTTGAACCGGTCCAGCAGTGACACCAAATGACCAACGACTGAACATATAAGACTTGCTCCAGCAGCAGACAAGACACGCAGCCCATGCGGCGTCCACATTGAGAGCTCTATACAGTACATACAACCGACATTGCTGCAGGAGTTTTGAATCTGCTGTGCGACTGCTGTCTGTCTCACCTCTGACGCCATCGTCACAGCCTGCACCGCCCCCCGAGAACTAGCTTGCTTCGCCACCACAGCTCCAGGAGAAACGAAGCCATGGCAGCACGTCGCGCTCACAACCAGCAAGGACGTGCTAGAGAAGAACCGCATGGTTCTCTATGGCTCCAGGTAAATAGCAGAGCGCCGAGCTGGACGTGTGTCGTGCCCCAAGCTAACCCGAGTGGCCCGAGTAGCGGGGCAACGTGGATTCGAGGGTTTCCAAAACATGATCGCAGGGATGTGTAGTTCGGGGGGAGAGAAGAGGCTCCGTGGAGATCATTTTTGGGGGCCGTTGCAGCCGCTGCCTGCTGTCTCTGCTGCTCTCAAGCTGCTGTGTCCATCGTGCCACAACAGTCCATCCCAGGAGTCGCACTCTTGATAAGCCATGTTGATGCGATGTATGGCTGGGACAGTGCTTCTCGCCGGGGCGCGAACCCTCGCTTTCCGTCCACCGACGACGATTTGGGGCGTGAAAGGTGAGAGGTACGGGAGAGAGAGAGCTGACTGCCCCCAGTTTGTTTGCAGTTTCCTGAGATGGTGAGTCGGGCGGTGTCGCATGTTTACGTTGCGTTCGGAGTTCGGAGACTCCATCAATACCTCTAACGGTCTAGATTGCCCCCATGGTCTACGATAGTGCCCGGAAGTGTATGTCCCGAAGGCATTGAAGGAAAGTACATTACATATGGTGCTGTTGAGTCTCATCAGCACAGCGGTAGACTAGAAATGCTGTAGTTGATGTTGCATCAGCGACCGCCGTGTTGGTCGTTGAATGCATAAATTTAGCAGCGCGCAGCACCTGGAAATTAGATACACGTGACGATGTGAGGTGGCACGCACGCCATCCGTTCCCCTTGGATACCTCCAAAGCGGCCGTCGCGTTGGAACAAGTCAAGTGGGGCGTAAAAGTTGTCAACGTGCTCCACGCACAAGATACATCATGATACGCTTGGCACCGCTCGACGCTTCCGTTCCGAAGCACCTAAAACTAAAAGGGCGTGTTTGGATCCACATTCCCCCCCGCAGGCAATATTCTTACATACCCCACAATTTGAGCAGTTGGTGGTACATGAACTTACACCCAGGAACGAAACATTCATTCGAGCACGTTTTTTTCTTGTTTTTTTTTCCCATCATTGGGTTCTGTCGTCTGCCATTTTTTCTCTTTCCTTAGACCGGTTTTTATGGCCCACAAATGTTGCAAGAATAGTTGCAGTTCTGCAACTTTTCTCGCAACATTCCATATGTACGCGCAGTATGGGAGCAAAAAGTTGCGCAAAAAGTTTTGAAACTTTTCTCGAGGAGTAAAAAGTTGCAATCTGGCCAAAAAGTTTTGCAACATTTCCCGAGTCGGGAAGGCGCGAGAAATGTTGCACGGCGGGAATTATACCGGTTCGGGTTTGTTGTTGTATTATTTCCGCCGTGCACTGGGGTGACGGGGTCGCAGGGTCCGACAACCCACTACACAACAAACACACGCGCACGCGAGCCCCACCCCGACGCGCACCACACGGTGTCACAACCCACAACACATACCCACGTCCTCGAGCTCCACACCGACGCATATCACACCAAACATGGAGAGCACCGACAACCAGTCAGAAGAGACGGTAGTGGCAGCAGCAGCTGCAGCCTGTTCGATCATGATGGGGCTGATCCTAGAAGAAGAGGCATTCGAGGAAGAGTGCGCTGCTGCTGCTGCTGCTGCTGCTGCTGCTGCTGCTGCTGCTGCACTCGAAGAGGAGGAGGAGGAACCCAAGGCAAAGCAGCAACGGCGGTCCTATCCCCGGCCAGAGTACATGAAGTCGCCCTGGGGACAGTGGCTAGGGAAACTCGCAGAGCTGCATGCTTCGGAGGGTGGATAGCGCGAGGACAGCCGAGAGGCACGGCAGTTCGTCGGTGCTTTCCGAGTCTCCTACGAGATGTTCCTCGGCATCGTCAAGGCTGTGGCGCCCGCATTTCCAGCAGCAACACACGACGTAGCTGGCCGGGAGTGCGTTCCCGTGGAACTGAAGGTGCGTTGTGACCCATCTGGATTATTACTTGACGGTAGGACAGCATGCGAATTACTGGTCCTTGCTGTTGTAGTCTACAGCAGCACACGACAGCAGTACCAGCAGCCTGTGTAGCGGCTTGAACTCGTCTATTTTCGTCTCTCCTCTGTGCTGTGCACGAGCTTCAGACGTGTGAACGTAAAGAGAGAATCCTCGCACAGCAGTCGTGTGTACCACAACGTTTTCCAGGACCTTTACCTACTGCTGTCCGGCCTCCATGAGGGCAATCCCCTCGTGCTCGTGGCCCTACAACCGCAAATGACACAAGATACCATACCCCCTGGACCGATTTTCAAAGGCCGATTTCTCAACTGCAAAAGGAGTCAGCACCGAAAACGGCGCCGTAGAGCCCTCTCGCCGAGAGCTTTCCGAAAATGCATCGTTTCCTTCATGCATCCTCTTGGCCGTGGAGTAATCCGAGCTTTGAAAATCGGTCCAGGAGGTGTGGTATCTTCTGTCATTTACGGTAGTGTTGCCGGGGTGCGAGTACCAGACTTATCGACTTTCCCGTTCCATCGTAGCAGCAGTGGTGCTGTGTTGTATTTTTTTGCGTTGACATGCCCTTGTACTGCTCCTCGCGCAGCACGCAGCATTCGCACCAAAAGATTATTGCAAGGGCTGCGAGCTGTACTACATACTGCCGTACGGAAGGCCGTCTGGCTTGCAATCGGCTCGTGCTGTTGTTCTTTACCGTGCTGCCGGGAATGCGAGTGTCAGACTTGTAATTCCTCCGCTCCGTCGTAGCAGCAGTGCTGTCGTCTTTTTTGTAGCGCTGACATGCCATGGCACACGTGCTGTTGTTCCCGATTTTCGAGTTCAGAACGGCACACAGCAACGAATAGACACCTTATTTTTATTCCGACACATGTGTATCTATTTTTGCTGCTCCGCCGTACACGCCCGTCTCCCGTTCGTCGCTGCTGCTGCGGCGACAGGTGTGCGCGGCCCTGAAGGTTTAAGCATCGGGAAATACCTTCCAGGACGTTGCCACCTTCTCTGGGATGAGCGTCGCGACCGCCGAGAAATCATTCCACCACTTCTGCGAGAAGTTTTCGGCGGCGCTCTGGGACACGTGGGTTAAACTCCCGATTGGAGACGAGCTGAAGGAGGTGGAGCGGGTCTTTCGGAAGAGCGGCTATCCGGGGGCGATAGGTTCGACGGACTGCACTCACTTCAGGTGGCCAGGCGGACCCTCTTCGGAGGCTCGCATGAACACCGGCAAGGAGGGCTACCCGACTGTGGTCGTGGAGGCGACATGCGACCACACCGGTGAGTTTTGTTCGGGCAGCACCTCCTCTTGGCTTGTGTGTGTGTAGACGTGTAGACGAATTTCCTACCGCTGAGGGCCCACGAGATCGCAGCATTTCCGATACTGGCGCTCTCTTGAGACTAGAGCCCTTTTTTTGCGGATTCTCCCAAGCAACCAAGTCTCCGCATGACACGAGACAAAGTGCTTTACTGCTGTAGTGCCTCCCTTTCGATCCCGACGAAAAGCGGGGAGGGTAGCGACTGGTGTCGTGCACAGCTGTGTGCAAAACTACACCGCCCGAGAGCAAAGAAAAAAACATGAAGTGCGCTGCTGCTGTTGTTCGCATTCTTCATGGAAGGTACCTCGTATCGTTTTTTGTTTGCGGAGAAACTCGTGGCTACCTACCGCACCTCTAGAGCAGTTCATTAGGAAAAATAAACAAAACATAAACAGAATACCTGTTCGAGATATGACCACGGTCGAAGCAGTTTATTGTATTATATTAGAGCGGACACGGGGACACTCCGCATCCCACGAACACACCAACTTCTACCGTCTGACTCCCAACGCCGTCTGGCAGAGCATATCGCTGAAGGGTGGGTACCACGTGGGAGGAGGAGAGAGAGAGAGATGAAACCGTATGGTTGTTGTTGTTGCTTGTTTCTTAAAATCAAATTTCTCACTCAAGAGTAATTCGATACTCTTGTCCTCCGGCGCCGTCACAACTCCCTTTCATTAATTAATTAATTAATTCATTGTGCGTCGGCCTCTCATTCCAAACCTCTACCCTCACACACTTNAGAGAGAGAGAGATGAAACCGTATGGTTGTTGTTGTTGCTTGTTTCTTCAAATCAAATTTCTCACTCAAGAGTAATTCGATACTCTTGTCCTCCGGCGCCGTCACAACTCCCTTTCATTGATTCATTCATTCATTCATTGTGCGTCGGCCTCTCATTCCAAACCTCTACCCTCACACACTTGCCATCGCCATACAACCTACGCGCGTAGCGGCGACCGCGAAGTGCCCTTGTATGCTTTCAGGATTCCCTGATGGCTCAAGTACTTTGTGACGACTGGTCATGATCTTTTGCTATATTTTGTTATTTAGCGATTTCGATTTCACGGCTAATTGGACAATCAACAACAACCAACCGCAGGCCGCATCATCGCAGCGACCAAGTCATATCCAGGATCGGAGAACGACAAGACCATCATCCAACGCGACAAGTCCATCTGGCGAATCCGAGACGAGGAGCCGTGGAACACTCTCAAGTACAAGTTGTACAACGCGGACGGCTCGGAGACGGAGTACAAGNGTATCCGAGACGAGGAGCCGCGGAACAGTCTCAAGTACAAGTTGTACCACGCGGACGGCTCGGAGACGGAGTACAAGGGTGCCTGGCTAGTCGTGGACGGGGGCTATCAGAAGGTGAAAACCGTACTCGCCGTAATCGTGAAGATCGATGACGGCATCTATTTATCGTTAAGCCGTAGAGGTGTCGCCGTTTTTTTGTTCCCCTTAGGGCCGTTGTTGTTCGGGAAAACACGAATCAAATAAAACGAAAAAAGGGTTCTAGAATTTCTCCTTGTTCTCGTCGTGATTTCGTTGAGTGAGCTGTTGACGAACCGCGCGGTTTGCTGACATACAGCAGGTCGACTTGGTCTGCGCGACACGAATGACATACAGCAGGTCGACTTGATCTGCGCGACACGAAAAATAGCACCCGGCACAAGTTGTGTTAAGTTGTCCTTTAGATCAAGAGCAGGCCTCTCGATTCANTACAACGATCGGTGAAAGGAGCACGCAGTTTGTGTCCGGCCCTTGCTCCTTCCGC